TGAATGCAATCATCAAGGGAGTGAGGGTAGAGATGAGAAGAGGTCCAAAGACAGAGCCATGGGGCACGCCAATATTAAAAGTATACAGTTCATAATAGTAGTGATGCAGGGCAGGTGAGCTCCAAAATTGAAGCTCAGTCTGGGAGAGTTCTTAACTTCATCCAGGAAAGAATTTGATGCAGGTCAGGAGAGCTCCTAAATTGGAGCTTAGCCGGGGAAAGTTCCTGGCTTCATCCAGAAAAGAATTCAACGGTGAGTCAGAGGGGTTAGCAACAGCAGAGGTACTGTTCCTTGCCGAGCAGGGCTACGCTATAGGCAGAGTGCCCAGAGGAGCAGCTCAGAGGCAGTTTTGTAGTCATATTGATACCCACTTTTAATTATATGAAAGTTAAGGGGTGGATCGTGCGGACATTTCTAGAAAAGGTATGACAGCTTCCAGATCATTAAACCATTGTCATGGAAAATGGTGGTAACTTTTGGGCATTGCCATGGCAATGGCAAACTGACATGGCACCCTGGTCAGTGTGTCTTATGGGAAAGTGTTTTCGCCCTCTCCCTGTTTTAGTTAACCACTAATTAGGTCTGGTGTTCAAACCTTGCCTCCAGAATCCAGTACTGGCTCCTACCTCAATAGAATTGTTTCATTGTGTGTCAATGTGATCATTCCTCTGTTTTAACAAGGGAATAAAGTTCATAAACTTCAACTTCAGCGGATTTTTAAAAAACCCAAATCTGAGAAAACTTATTCCTGGAATTTTTCCAACAGATCATCATTTACTGTTTGCTTGGACCATAAGTAGAGAGAACTAGTTGGTTTATAAAGCAGCCTCTTTCATGATCAGATCACTGTAGTTCTAAAAAGTTTTCACATAATGAAATTTGTGTCTTTTAAAATTCATCTGTGATCTGGAGTTCTGTTCTGGAACAACATGAAATAACCCTTCTTCCTATTTTTCATGCTAGACTTTCACTTCATGTATTTTAAAATTGTTTTCATGCATCATCTTAGTTTTTCTTCCCCAAGTTAGACACTAGCTTATTTATTCAATAATTTTCACTTTATTAAGTGCTGGGTATTGAGCTAACATTGAATATGTACTAATCAACAAAAATAGACAGTGGTCTCAGCTCTCTTGCTAATACTTCATATTTTCTTTTGACTGTCATGATTGCAATTTAGTTTTTGTTTTTTTCATTATTCCTATTCATTTTGTTCAATTCAGTGCTTTTGGATTGTAAATATGTACAAGCAGTGGTGTCAGGTGATACTGAAGGGTAGAAACAAATAGTAGCCTCTGCCCTTAAGAAACCTAAACTTTGTTTGGGACATGTACGAAAATAAGATCTGTTCTGGAATATGTTCTGGGTACTCTTGAGTACACAGAGAAATAAAAGTTAGCTTTCCCTCAGAAGAAATTAGGGAAAGCTTCTTCAAAAATATAGGTCTTTGAATATGGGTAGGAGATAGGTAGATTGAACATTTCCATAGATGTGGCATCGTGAGCGAAGTCATGGAGGCGGTGATTTGTGGTTTGCCAGATAATCTGGGCTTTGGAAGTTAAAACCAGAAAGACTCATTGGGAATAGAAAATAAGAAATATTTGAGTATAGATAAATCGGTATGTTTAGTTTTTAAAATGATGCATTATAATCATTCATTCAACAAATATTTACCTAGTGCCTAACATATATCAGGTACTATTAGAGCCCAAATAAATTTAACATTCTTAAATTATAATGCCATAATAGTTCAAATATTGCCCCAATGGTATTTATTTTTCCATGTTTGAAGAATAATGCTTTCCTTTCCATTATTATGACAAAGGTTTTTTTTTCTTTTTCTTTTGTTTTTTTAATCGATTTGGTCACACTTTTGTCTAAGATAAGTCCAAAGCCTTTATTCTAACTCTTGAGGTCACATTGTTTTAAAATTCAGGATTTTTCTGATTTTAGGAATATAATATAGTCTGTGTATCAAATATTAGGTAAAGCATCATCTCCTAATAGTATTATTCAGACATTTTCTATTGTATATTAGTATATAAAACTTATTGCTTCCAAGTGAATTTTGGTGACAAATGTAGGATAAAACTTTCAGTTTTGAAAGATCCTGAACCTGAGAGGTATAGATAAAATATAGCTGACTTTTATTATGTGAGGCTAACTAAAATCCCACTTTTCCCACTCTACTCCTATGCTATTTATGCCTTTTTTAAAATTTGTTTTTACTTAAGTGCAGGACTTCAGGCTTAGTAAACATCAGTTGTTGATTCAATTAATTGTTTTTTTCATCAGATATATATTATGATTCTATGTGTGCCTGATGCAGTCTGAGTTAATCTTTGATCGGCATACCTATTCTTTTTAGCTTTAGTGCTTCTGAAGTTTTCTTACCTGCAAGTTTTTATTTCAAGCCAATGTTAAAGCCTCAGTGTGGCATCCCATGAGAGCCTTTCCTCATAGATGGACACTTCACAGTTAAGTGACATAACTGTGTTAAAAGCTAGGAACCTATCCAACAGTACAAACTAAGTTTACTACATTATTCCCAAGGATATTTAATAAATTTTGTTAAATTCCTTGCTGAATTTAAGATATAATGTGTATTTATCTATTCACCCATACAACCAAACCAACCACACATGCTTTGCTCAAGAAAACCAAGTAAGCTTGGCATGATTTGCTGTTTTGTCTTTAAGTTTCTTGCTAGTGCTTCTTTATAATTTTTATTATTTTGTTTTAGACTGAGGTTTTATAGTTATCAGCATATGACCTTTTCCCTTTAGACAACTTGAGAAATCTTTGCCCCCCACATTTTTCCCCCAGCTTTTCATTTCCAATGTTTCACAAATATTATTAAGAATATCTTAATGTTGCTGGGTGTGGTGGCTCAACACCTGTAATCCCAGCTTTGGGAGGCTGAGGCAGGTGGATCACTTGAGGCCAGGAGTTGGAGGCCAAACTGGCCAACATGGTTAAACCCTGTCTCTATCAAAAAATACAAAAATTTAGCCAGGCTTGGTGGGGCACACCTGTAGTTCCAGCTACTCAGGAGACTGAGATGGCAGAATTGCTTGAACCCAGGAGGTGAAGGTTGCAGTGAGCTGAGATCCCACCACTGCACTCCAGCATGGGCAACAGATAAAGACCCAAAAAAAAAAAAAAAAAAAAAAAATCCAAATTTATGTCTACTCTACATCATCAACCAGGTCTTCTTTATTTTGCAGAATTAATTCCAATATAAATTTGCTATCCCACACACATATAAACCTTAACCTACATTTTTTCCAAAGATTAAATCATAAAAATACACAGGAAGAATTATCCCACTATATTAGTGAAATAGCTTTCTGTGTATTAGGATAATGGAAAGGCCCCCTAGTTTTTTATAAGTTTACAGTATGTATTAGGAAACCATACTATTTTGGTTTCACTGTCTCTAAAGTGCTATCATACCTCCCTTCCTCCCCACCTCCCTTTTTCCTTCCCTCTTTTACTTCCTTTCTTCCTTCTTTTTTCTTTGATTCTCTTTGATTCTTCTTAAATACATTTATTTCTACTATGCTTTCACTCTGTTTTGACAATTTCTTATACTATTTTATACATTTTTATATTCTAATTTTCAGTTGGCTTCTTTTGAACAAATGAAGCCTTCAGTTGCCCTATTATTATAATCACAAGCACAGTAAATATCTTTATTTACAAAGGCAACTGTGTGATTCTGTGATATTTGTGCCAAAAAGAATCTGCAGCAATCAGAGGACACTTAATTATAGTAAATATTTCAGTGAATTTTTAAAAAGTCTCTAAAATAATGTAAACATAAAAATATTATCTAAAAGGTAATAATTATTTGTTTAAATAAAATCATATTTGCATGGGGCAGTGATGTAAACTGTATTGAGACTCTAATATCATACAAATTTTATTTCCATTTTATAGAAAGAGCACATAATATTTCTTAAATTACAGTTCTTTTGGCTTTAGAGTATCTTTCATTTGGGGAACTTTCAGTAATTTACCTATTCAGAAAATAATGACCCAGAGGCAGGAAGTATCAGGAATTTAGAGTATATTTGGCACAGATAATTTTGATGCATGATATTAAAATAGGATGATCTGCTTTGGTAATGCTTTATCTATGCATGAGAAGACATTCGCAGCTCACTGTTACCTTCTACTTACTCTGGCTATTTGGTAAAAAAATTAAAGTCACTGAACCTTATGGTTTTTTGTTTTTGTTTTTGTTTTTACCAGTTTAGTTTATATAGACATGGTTTATCTCATGGAATTGCATAGAATAAAGAAAATTAAAATTTAGGGGTCTAAGAGGCCCAAGTGGTAGTATTCCCTACTTCTCTGGCTGTTTTTTAAACAACTGTCTTATCTATATTTATATTTGCTTGAAGAAAGGAGAAAATTAATTGACCTCAGAGTAGTGTGTGTTTAAGTCCGGGCATAATCATTCGT